AGGGTTGTTTTTTTAAAGGACAGGTGGGGTTGCCAAGTGAGGTGACAGCTCGGCCACTCCTGCATACAAATCGTCCTCGATTTCGTCGCTGTGTTTTATTTTGTCTGAAGAGAAAACCGAGCAGAACCTTCTGTTGGTTAGCTGCATTCCGGGTACGTCTTCGATAAGATACCGATCGTTACCGAGAACCTTAGCTACAGTATACGGCCCACGATATCTCGGTTCTAGTTTACGAGATTCACCGTATGCAGACGGTTCATTCTCGATTACAACAAGATCATTTTCGAGGTATTTCGTTGGCTCAGCATGTCGTCGGTCAAATCGTATTTTCCACTTAGAACGCTCATCGTTAATGTTCGAAACAGCTTGTTCGCGTTTATGGCATATTGGTGTTGAAGTATTTGGCTCGGGCAAATCGTCTTGTACAGCAGCAAGCAGACGATTTTGTACGACGTCACGGAGATTAAAGTCAAAAACTAATTCATTCGGGCAAAACCCGGTGGTTGAGTTTCGTTACGAATTGATAGTCCATTGAAGATCTTTCAATTCCAGGTCCCAATCCTTAGGATTGTTGGTGGTTGTACGAAGGAAATTAAGAATTGATTGGTTAGCACGCCCGACTTGGCCGTTAGCACGTGGCGTCCGGACAGCGGTTTTGGTGTGTTGTATACCATTTTGGTCGCTGTAACTTTCGAAAGTTTTCGACGTGAAAGCTGTTCCACGATCGCTTATAATTTGATTCGGTAGACGGAAATAACTCGACATTTCATTTAACGCGTTAATTCCTGGTGCTGTTTTAGTACTACGCACGGCTTTTACTACTAAGTATTTTGTAAATGCATCGGATATAGCAAGAACGTGACAGTTACCACGTTTACTGCGCACGAGCGGACCCATATGGTCGATGTGAATTACGCGGAAGGGTACAGGATCAATTAGCCCAAAATGCATACGGCCTTCGACCTTCCCTTGTCGATGCTTTTGATAACAACATGGTACACAAGCGGAAATGTAACATTTCACATACCGCCGTAGATTTGGGAACCAATAGAGTTTCCGTATTCTTTCGATTGTCTTTTCAAGAGCAGGGTGACCCACATCATCGTAACACGATTTCACAACTCGCCAGCGTACTGCTTTCGGGACAACAAACGCTGGACCGTCTGGGTTCTTACGGTAAAGTCTATGGTTTTTCATCTGATACTCGTTTTTTACTTGTTTTTCGCGCTCAGATTTAAACTCACCATTAAGAATTCTAATATTTTCACGTATTATGTCGTCTTGTAATTGCATGGTGAGAAGCCAATCATGGTGATCGGCGGTCACATTCAATACAAATCCAGCGGGTTCCATTTCATTCGGTTTTTCGACAGGCATGCGGCTAAGCGCGTCCACATGCGATAAAGAACTACCTTGCCGATGAACACACTCAAAATCGAATTCAAGCAGCATAAGCCACCAACGTGCAATTTTTGGTTTAAGTTCTTTATTGTCCTTAATTTTCGCGAGAGCGGAACAGTCTGTCACGAGGCGAAATGGTTTACCCAGTAGATATATTCGGAAGCGGTCGAGGGTTTCCACAGCAGCAAGTGCCTCCAGTTCGTAGCTGTGATACCGGCTCTCAGTTACGGTACAATGGCGACTATAGTAAAAAACCGGTTGCCAATTCTTACCATCGCGCGATTGTAACATAACACCTGCGAGTCCAACACTAGATGCATCGGTATGTATTTCGTGCAAGGCTGTTGCATCGTAAAGAACCAGTAGCCCGTTTCTGTAACTTTTCTCTATCGATTATTTCTCTACTGGTAGAGAAAATACGTCACTCTCACCTACTAATTAGCAGTAGAGAACAGGGCGGCGAATTCATATCTCAATTCGCCTTGGTAGAGAATTGTTACAGAAACGAGCTACAGAAGCGGTTCGCTACACAGTTGTTGTATTAAATTCAAAAAAGCTTGTTGTTGCATTTCGCCCCACACAAAATTATTTTGTTCACTTTTATGTAATAGGCGCGTTATTGCTTTTGCGATTAGCGAGAAGTTTGGCACGAACTTTCGGAAAAATCCGGCAAGTCCTAGAAATCTCCGAACTTCCGTGACGTTTTTCGGTGGCGGAAAATTTTCTATTGCGGCGACTTTGCGTTTACCCGGTTTTATACCATTTTCATTAATTATATGGCCTAAATGATCGATTTCCTTTTCAAGAAACTTGCATTTGTCCATGCGTAGAGTAAGTCGGTTTTGTTTCAATATTTTAAAGAATTTTTCAAGACGCTTATGCCCTTCGTCGATACTTTGACTCGGAATGATAACATCATCCAAATAAGCTAAAATTTCACCGGGTGGCATTTGTGCTACAATTTTATCCATCAAGGACTGGAAAAATGCAGGCGCGTTAACTAAACCGAAAGGCATTCGGTTATATTCATAATGACCGTCCGTAGTTACGAATGCGGTAAATTTTTTTGAATTTTCATCAATTTCTATTTGATGATAACCGGTACGCAGGTCAAGCGTTGTAAAATATATATTTCCCGACAGTTGCGAAAATTGTTCTTCCATAATCGGCATTGGATACGGTTTTTTTAGTGTTACTTTATTCAGACTACGGTAGTCGACACATAAGCGATGTTCGCCATTCTTCTTCTCCACGAGAACGACTGGTGCGGCATACGACGAATCACTTGGACGTATAATTTCGTTCTTCAACAAATCAGATACGATTTCGAACACAATTGCACGTTTAGCGAACGGGATACGGTACGGTTTATGGTAGATCGGTTTGTCAGTATTTAATTCGATTGTCATTTTGGAAATACCACATTTTCCAATTTCGGAGAGATTATTTGCAAAAACGTCAGGATATTCGGTTAACAGCGTATCAAACTCTTGGCGCTCGGTTAAGTTTAATTCGTTTGTTACTACAATATTTTGAATTCGCTCTACACGACATTGGTCTTGTTCGATAACTAAACGTTTGCCTGCGCGGCAAAGGACGTCTCTACCAAGCAATACTGGTTTATACAACAAATCATCTTCGGTTATGAGCATATCGGTCTGAATTTTTTTACCGTCAATTTCGATTACCGCACTAACAATTCCGGTACTCACATATTGTCCCCCAGCAAAACCTTGTAAAGTGGTTACTTGTTGCCGCGGACTTCCAATTTCCGGCGCAAATGTTTTTCGAACGAGTGTACGACTACTGCCGGGATCAACAAAGGCAATCGTTTCTATTCCATTTACTAGGATTACTTTATTAATTTTATCGTCACATGTACTCTGTTCGATTTTGTTGACGCGGCTATTCACTTTCACAACACAATCGGCAGTTTTATGCGTTGTACGTTGGCATTTTTCACAGCGCGGCTTACGTTGGGGCTCTTTACAATTAATCGAGTAATGCCCAAATTGAAAACAATTATAGCACTTGACTTTTTCGAGTGATACAGTTTTTGTCGGGTTTTGATTTTCTTCGGACGGCAATTTACGATTAGAATTTTTTTCAGGCGGTGGATTCATCTTGAAGGAAGATTTAGCTGAAGCATTTTTCACGTCATTATAAATACTAAAATTTATAATATCACGCAACAGGTCTTGACAACGATTATAATCATTAGAAATTTTCTTTCGAAGATCGAAGTCATTTATGCCATTTATAATATGGCGCGCAATGCTTGAGTCGGATAAACCGCCTTTTGCTCCTAATGCAAGCATACGGTAGTAAAATTCTTGCGCAGATTCGTTGCTTTGGCGTTTAGTTTGTGCCATTTTAATATGGACATCAGCTTCATTTTCGATACACGGAAAGTCTAACAAAAACTTGTTAACGAATTGCGGCCACGAAATGAACACATCTTGCAAAGAGTCAACCCAATATTTAGCAGACCCTCGCATCTTTTGTTGTACGGCAAACAAAAGTGTGCTCTCCCTCCAACCATAAATACTTTTAAGGTTTTCGACGCGTTTTACGAACTGTTTTGAACTTAGCGAACGGTCGGACGATGGATCAAAATACGGTAAGAGTTCCACTATATCGCGCACATTTTCGTATGGGTTATAGTAATGCGGTACTATCTGCGGTGCCCGGACATGGTCAAAAGCGTACGGAGCAGACGGATGATACGGCGCTGTATATGCAACCGATGTTACCGGTGGTACTTGCGTGCTTGCATGGGTAAAATGTACGTTTGATTGCGGAACAAACGCGATGTGCCTCGGTCGAGAGAACTCGGTGAAATTATTATTATTGCTGGGCTCTTGAGCGGTTGTCCACAGCGAATGTTGACCATTATACATAGTCGGAACTATTTTTGGATTCGCTACTGTATACGTGCTAGTTACTGTCGTATTTAATTGAGTTGTAGTTTCAACGGCATTTATCGGCGGCGAAGACATTGTCGGATTGAAATTTGCCAATATTGGTACATTTCTATTTTGCTGTGACACTAGCTCAGTAATTGTTTTTTCTAAAGAAGAAATAGTACGTTTTAACACCACTGTTTCATTGTCAGAAACACTTTCGGAAAAATCATTTTCTAATAGGCGTTCAACTAATTGATTTTTATTGCCACTTACTGGCAACCGGGCTTCACGATACCTCTTTTTTAGCTCACATACTTTTAAGCTGCGCAGTGACATTTTCGGTTAAGTTCCCTTATTTCGGACTTCGAATTCGAAATGGCGTTTTCGCTTTTCATTTAAATTTAACGACGCGTTGATTTCTTTTGCTATCCAATTGGAAACAAGATACATTCGTACGCGTGTTTAGTAACTTGACGGCTGTTGCCTGCGAAGTCTCAATTATAACGGCACTTGTCAGCGGAGTCTCCGGCGTTTGTTCACTACCCCTTCTGAAAATTGTCGTCTACTACAGCCGAGTTACGACAATTTATTTCCGTATTTAAGAATAACACGAGCACGAGTGGTTTAACAATGAAATGAAAGTATTTATTTAGTTCAATATGAGTTGCTAATTTGCTAATT